AAGTTGTTTGCTGTTCACAAAATCATTGTTTCTTTGATTGGTATTAAAAATGCTATTGTCTTATGATACTGATAGATATAAATGGCCTCAATCTAGGTATTGTCATGCTGCGTGTAGTGGGCGAGACAATTGACACAATCGTTTGATTGTCAGTTGTTTGGATAGTATAAAATAAACTAGAATTATTGTTTCTCTTTTTACCGGTAGTCAGGATTTAAGCCGTGAGTAACTGATCATGATAAATTATTTCTACAGTTTTTATTTCATTTGTTTATCATCAATACCTATTCATTTATCACAGCCAATTGCTCGTGAATTTAACAGGATGTAATAGACAGCCATATAATCTGTAATCCACCCCATGTTCAATTTCTACAATTGAGTATAGTTTTTCCTCAAGGAATCCCGTTGTTAAATGCCCGGATCTTCGATGTAAATGTTGCGACCATATTACGCCAAATAGGAAATATAATTTTCCTAAGTTTACATTTAGTGTCAACGACAATATGAATTGTGACACAAAAAATCTCATATATGTCTTGACTTGCAATGGGTGTCTAAATTTTTACATAGGGGAGACGTCCACGCATCTACGGGATAGAGTACGCAACCATCGACGGGATTGTAATATTGAAAATGGGCCCTTATTTAAATAGACATATTTTTAAATGTGCACAACACCTACAAGTAAAATTCCAAATTTTCCCTTTTTATAAAATGAAAGTCGATGACACCACGAAAAGGAAATTAATGGAAAACCATTTTATTAAAAAAATATGTTCCTCGACTTAATAGTCAATAAGTAACAATTGGCCATTAGCTTCATTAATTTTCTTAAATCTATCCCATGATTATCTTCCACCCATTGTTCATAAATTGAACCCCATATACTACAGATTAACACATGTGTGTACATGTTTCTATTAGTTAACGATATACTATGTAACCATAGACAATGGTAACTATAGCCAATTAAAACCACAGTGTTACTATGTAAATATGTATAAATATACTATACTGTCCATCTTTATACAATGACATTATTTATGAATAGTCCCAAGACGGACGAAAAGTACTTTAAAATGTTAAAAATGTTATTAAACCAGTGTTGAAATCAGTTTGTGTCGGCATACCTTTTTTTTTATCCTTTCATCATTTACCGTGAAACAAAGTAGTGCAGCTTTGCGGTTGTGCTAATAATTTTACATATATATATATATATGAAAAGTTGAAGATAACTACTCTTATGTATTAGATACACAAAAATATAAAAGTTTTTGAAAAAAGAACTACATTATTATGATAACATGGTCTCTAAAGCATCCACAAGATTTTTCAAAGTGATCAAGGGCCATAACTCTGGCAGTAATTGTCAGAAATATTCAATAGGTTTCTTCGTCTGGTGACCTTAAACACTGTGTATAAATTTAAGGTCAATCGGATGTTAACTTTAGCCTCAAAGAGCATCCACAAGATATTTCAAAGTGATCAAGGGCCATAACTCTTAAGACATAATTAACAGAAATTGCTCAAGTTCAATAGGATTCTTCATTGCATATAAATTTCATACAGTTCGGATGATAAGTTTTGCCGTAAGACCGTTCACATTATTCAACAAAAGGAAACAAGGGTAATAACTCTAGACCTAATAAACAGAAATTGCTGAAATTCAATAGGCTTCTTCGTGTTACTCATTTAAATAATGCATATAAACATCATACAGATCGGATGATAATCCAGAAAGTTATGGTCTGAAATGCGCAAATATCAAAAGAGACTGCGATTTTTGGAATATAAAGATCTGTTTTAAGTTTCATCAAAATCGGATAAAAATTGTGATCTCTAGAGAATCCACAAGCTAAAGATAGGTTGCCAGGCAATGAAACATACGCCCACAGCAGCAAAATCATCCAAGCGGTCAACAAGGGTTGTCGCATATTTATTCCTTTGTAGGTAATTGGGGGCTTTACTAGACAGTTTCATACAGATCAGATTATAATTTTTGTTGTTTGAAGGTTCACAAGGTTCTACAAACTGAAACAAGGGCCTCAACTCTGGAAGTAGTTTACAGAAATTGTTGAAATTCAATAGGATTCTTCTCTTTACTAATTTAAATCACGCATATAAATTTCATACATATCGGCAGATAACTTTTGATGTTAGAGCGTTCCCAAGGGGCAACAGAGTGAAATTGCTGAAATTCAACAGGCTTCTTTGTTTCACTAATTCAAATAATGCAAATAAATTTCAGAAAGATTGGATGATAACATACTTAAATATATAATATATACTCTAGAAAAATGACCTAATTACACAGTATATTCTTTTTAATGTATAAAATACAGATAAAATGCAGATCAGAGTATACATGTGCTGTACTTTGTTTAGGGGCGGGGGGTGATTTGTGTTGTACCTTTATAATTAAATTTCATATTTCCATTTGTCTACGATTGTCTTGTTGCCAACAAACAAAGACAGAGTGTCTTTGACACAGTTCTCATAAAGTTGAGGTACTGATCTTTATTTGGGAATTTATTTTTAATTTTACATTCAAAGATGTAATATTTTGTAAGGAGGATGAGGTGATTTACAAATAACCATTCATGTTTATCGTTAAACATTTTTATATTATATACTCCTAGATGTGTGGATTCTTGACAGATTATGGTGTTAATATTGTTTTTTGGATTTCAGACAAACTGGTTAATATTGTTTGTGTTACAGGACATAAGTAGAATAAGTGTTCCTGGGTTTCAACTTTAGTTTCAAGGCATGAGTTACAGAGAGCACAAAGGGAACTCTCAGTAAATTTGAGTTTACATAGCTTTGTATTAGTGTATATTATTCTATGTATATACTTATAATGAAAGCTGAGCATTTTTGTGTTAAAGCATACATTTTTTGCTAACTTAAATATTTTTTGGGTTTCTATATTATCAATAGTGGTATTTAGAATGGTTTCCCACTGGTTTATGCATTTTGGTGTAACAAATGATTTTTCTACTCTTAAATTATAGATATCCTTCGATTTTATGTCAAATAATGTTTTGTCATATATATCCTTTAGATTATTGCTAATATCATCTGTTATATTCTTTGTGAAACCTGTTATATTTTCATAGTTCACATTAGATTGCCCCTTTATAACAAGTGCTACTTGTTTTAATGCATCAATATTATAGTTTTCAAAACTTGTTGCATTTTGTGTATTGCTAATGATATCTGCTGCATACAAATATTTGTTTTGGATTAAGACTTTATCAACTATACTACTGTTGTAGTTTAAATGTGTTTATTGTTCCAGACAATTTGTTTTTCAAGCGGAACTTTGCTGTCAAGATAATTAGCATATATGTCATGCCAGTTGGTTAATAATTCTGTATAGAACAGATTTTGTATTTTTATGCCTTTTTCATAATTACAAGCGGGTAGAATAGTTCCTCCATATTTTTGCAAAATTAAGTTGAATGGAATAATCCAGGATTGATCGTTGTTTGAGATATTTTTTTTATCCAAAAGATACACTGGCACTTTAAAAATTCTTTTAGATTTAACATGCATTGACCTCCATTTGGTATATCCTAGTCAATAACACTTCTTTTAATTTTATCAGGACGGTTCCACATAAATTTTAATTATTTGATTAAATTTAAATATTATGTTTTTAGGAACTTTTAGTGCCAAGGCTGGATATGAAATCTTTGGTAGACAGAATGTCTTTATTATTTGTATTTTTCCTCATAGCACACTGTATGGCGTGTGCCCGTCTTCATTAGCCCAGTTCGGAGAGGACCAGTAGGACATTAAACCCCATTTCATTTCATTTCATTTATTTTTCCAAGTACTGTTAAGTGTCTGTTATTCCATTTTGTTATAACAGATTCTATATCTAGTAATATATTTTCACAGTTTAGGTTATCAGACTCACTTTGATTTAGTGAGAAGTAGATTCCGAGTATTTTAACTGGTGTTCTACTGATTTTAATATCTAGGCTTTCTATTTGAATAGTAAAATTATTATTGGGTATAGTCAAATTCAGGGCTTTGGTTTTTGTAAGGTTAGTCTCCAATCCCGAGATTTTATAAAAAAGTTTTAACATTTCAAAGAGATTTAAAGTCTTTTAGTAAGCAGGTGAGGTCATCTGCAAAGGCTATGCTTTTTATACGCCCACATTTTCATGTGGACGTATATTGTCGTCGCCCCTGTCCGTCCACAATTGTTTGTGAACAGTCTACAGGTCACAATTTTTATCCGATTTCAATGAAACTTGAAATATAGGTTTATCACCCTAAGATCTCGGTTCCTTTCGATATTGGCATGTATCGAACTGTAACTTCATGGATAATGGCCCCTGATTGTACGGAAAATCACGTTTTTAGCTTGTGAACACTGTAGAGGTCACAATTTTTATCCGATTTGGTTTAAACTTGAAATGTAAGTTTATAACCCAAAGATCTCGGTTCCTTTTGATATCGGACCGTAACTTGTAACTGATGACCAGATTATTTTGTCATTCGCTCCTGGACTATTAGGGTTCATTCTCTCATTTGCTTCCCACCAAATTTGAAAAGAATCTGTTGAAAACTATAGCCTCTATTGCGTTGGCAAAGTTTTCGGTAAAGGAGCATAACATCGGAACAAAAAATCGCGGAACACTGAAAATCAATAGGGTTCATGACCACAATACTTCACACCAAATTTGAAAAGAATTCGTCAACACTCTAGCCTCTATCACATTCACAGGCCAATTGTTGATAGACCCAGACAGATAGGGTGACGACAGAAGTTATAGAACATCAATGTATGGGTGCTGTTTATATACACCCACATTTCATTGTGGGCATATAAAAACAGTACCCGTACATAGTATAACGTACTGTAGTCTTATGACGTGACTTTGTTCAAATCTATAAAATGATTCTACAGAATTATCTACAATTTTATAATTTCACACTGATAGTTATTAATGCCCATGCTGTTATATCATGCAAAAACTTACCTCTGGTGGAGGAGTTTTTGGTTGAATACTAGGAAAACCTTGCACAGGTATATTTACAGGAACATTGTCCTGTGTTCTTGATGAATTATCTGACATTATTAATAACGCATTATCTGATGTTCTTAATGAAACATTATCAGACGGGCGAAGAGAAATATTGTCTGAAGTTTTCTCCGATACATTGTCCGGTGTTCTTATAGAAACATTAACTTGTGGACTGTCTTGAACGTCAATTGATGTCCTGATCGGAAGATTGACGGGGGACCTCACAGGTAAACTGGCTAATGTATTTTCTGGGGTCTTCACTGGAGTTTTGATCTGAACATTGACCGGTGTCTTTATTTGAATATTGACGCCAATTGCCGTATGGTGCGGACTGTTGACCTCAACTGCTGATCGATTCAAGTTATTGACGGCTATTAATGTTCGGTTTGGACTATATACTGTTACTGGCAAATGAACCAGATTATTTACTGGTGATTTTACTGGAAGATCAACAGGGATTTTAATAGGCAGATCAACAGGAGCTTTTCGTGCTGGAACATTTACTGGGATTTTACGCACTTTAATTTTCTTGCATGTTGCTCCAGGGAGTGGTATTGGTAATGACACTGCTGAACATATTCCATAATGAACACAATTACACTCAGCTCCTATTTTTTTAAACTGCAGTGAATCACAAAGAACACAGTTGTGAACTGAACGTTTCCATCTAATATCTATTTTACAGGTATGATACAGTGTCACCTGCGAATGTACATATTTAATACAAGCATATTTCTTCTGCATTTTGAGATTCTGTTATCCTCAAATAAAAGTCAATGAGGTAGAGTTTTGATTTTTTGAAACATTTACTGAAATTTTTTGCTGCCCTTTTTCAATGTCAGTAGAATTGGTTTTCAGATTTGCACTTTTGTGAATTCCTAATTTATTAATTAAGTTTCATCTGATTTCCTTTCGTACTTTTTGGCACTGCAAAGATTTCTCATTTGACAATCTTTTTTTCAAATCAAAGAAGTTCTTTTATTAACATATTTTGGCACTTTTTATATTGCACTACCTGTATAATTAAGTAGGCTTCAAGTCCTTCAAGATATTTTTTTAAAAACTTCTTCTGACTTTTGGCACATTGACAATGATTATTAACTATTCTTTACATAAGGCACATCTGGAGAGAACGAGAAAACTTGGATTATATCATACTTTATCTCTGACCACTTTCATCAACCAATGTAGAAACCAACATTTTGCAACAAAAAAGCCACAATGTATCCTATATTAAATAAAGAACCTTTCTTATAATAAGTTCCTCTGGCAGAGGGAAAAAAAAGGTGAAAATAGGGGCACTAATACATTGTACATGTACGCCCACTACCAGCAAACATGTCTGGGTCATCTATAAAGGTTGTCACTGAAAGAAAACAAGAAATTATTTCTTTGAAAGTGTTCAAATAGGATAGGAAACATGCTAAACTTCCTTCAAACTTTACATTTGTACTGTCAGAAATAATGATCATGAAAAACTATTTAACAAAGGCAAAAACTCTGTGTTATTCTCTCACCATAGGTTTTCTTTTTAAAGAAAACCAATTAAACTACTGAAAATTTATGCACAAGTCATTTTAAACAGATGGACACACAGAAAGATGTGACGACAATATACAACAAAATATATCCAGACGTAAAAATATATACAGAAATCTGTTTTTCTTCTCTGTTAATTTATAAATTATTATTATTATAGCATATTTATAGTGCGCCCTTTCATATAACATGTTCAGGGGCACTTTACGAAGTGACAATGTAAATCATACATAAACAACAATATTATGGACATGTTAACAATTGTATACAGAGTCAGTTAAAAGCCTGATTAAATAAATGTGTTTTAAGTTGTTTTTTAAAAGAATATAGAGATGTACAACATCTTAAACTAAATGGTAGATTATTCCATAAAACAGGTGCTTGATAACTAAAAGAGCGCTGACCATAAGAGACTAGTTGGACAGTTTTGGGCTTTAAAAGTAGTTTATCTGATGTACGTAATGTTCGGCCAGGTGTATAAAGTTCTAAAAGATCTGAGAGGTAAACAGGAGCTAAATTATTTAAACATTTAAAAGTAAGTAATAAAATCTTAAAATCAAAATCTTAAAATCAATTCGATATTTAACAGGTAACCAGTGTAAATTATATAAAACAGGAGTTATGTGGTATGGTGATGCTGGAGGTAGTCATTCACGCCAGGATGTGGTCACGGTAGTACACACCAGTGACACGTCCTTGAACAATATGCAAGTCCGTTCTGCCAGTCATGGTGATTCCTCCCCACATCATAACAGACCCACGCCCGAGTCTGTCATGCTGTCTGGCGTGCATGACACTCATTTACATGCCTCCAAACGCGAGCACGCCTATCGGTGATATCCAGAGTACATCTGGACTCATCTGAGAACATTACACGCACCCATCAATGATTACCCTAATTTCTACGCTGCCTACACCATTGACGCCTGTTTGCCATGTGCTGGCGAGTTAATGGAGGCACAACACGCGGTCGTCGCACATGGGCTGCATGTGGCCGATTTCTAATAGTTTGGGGTGTAACTCGAATTATTGTAACTTGGAACAAGTTTAGAGAAAGTTGTTTGGTTGTTTGTCCTCGATTTCGAAGGACCTGTGTACGAATGTATCAATCCTGAGCTTGTGTAGTGGCTCTAGGACGACCTGAACAAGGTCTATCATCAACATTGTGTGTTTGTTGGTAACAGTTCCACAGTCTGCTGATCACAGACTGTGACACATAAAGCATGTTGGGTACTGCTCGCTGTGTAGAACCCATTTGAAGCATGCCAATAGCACGTAGACGTTCATCATGTTGATGAAGTCTTATTGCAAATTAAACGTAACACACTAGAGCAAAGATACGCTAAACAGTAAATCTTATGCAAGAACCGATAGGAAAGCAAACATGGATAGGATAAACCAGCACGCGACAGTTTTCATCAACCCTTCCTTGAAGTGTCAAATTTGACAATGAACCCCTACCACATGTATGGCGCTATTGCGTGTCGCACATGCAACTCAGTGGTTCTGTTGGGGCGATAAGTTATTCATCTGTGAACATACTCTCAAAGCATGTCAAGTGTCCATGACTATTTATCAATCACAACCTGCATAGATATTTGCATTTCAATATCCCCTAGTTTTTTTGAAGAGTATATATCTAGTCTTCATCTTCTTTAAAACCAGTTGAATTTGGTATCTATTTTGTGGAAGAAAAACCCTGTAGATTGTGGAAAGTACAAAAGAAATGAAATGAAATGAAATGGGGTTTAACGTCCTACTGTTCTGCTCCTAAACTGGGCTAATGAAGACGGGCATATGCCATACAATGTGCGGTGAGGGCATTACGGCCTACTCTTATATCAAATTCCAACTGCCAAGAGATCTTTTACGTGCACGCCAATATGTACACGGGACCTCGGTTTTTCATCCCATCCGCACGACTAGACGGCTGTCCTTGTCAGGCCCTTCGTCCTGCATCACTAACAACGGGGAAACCACGACGGAAGGAAAGTACAAAAGATATTCAAGGAATGTAGACTAGCCTGTATTGAAATCAAATGTATATGTTGAATATTTAATCTTTTTAAGCTTTAAAAAAAATGTAAACACAGACATCCTACAATTATTCTTAAAGTAACATAACTTAATGTGATTAATCTTTCTTGCTTGAATAGAATGATAATATTATTACATACCAGCAATGAAGTTTTGCAAATTTACTTATGTATGCTCAAACAATAAATCTTAATTCTTATCATTGTTTAAATTACAGGATATAAATTATACTATTATTATATTTGTAGATGATTTTGATTTGATCAGTTTATCAAAACATGTCATTTTATAAATAAATCAATAGGAGATACTAACAGTAACAGGCATCATTCTGACATGTTTTCATCAGGGCTCTTACTGACAAATTGTCTGCCAGTCATTTTATGGTTAGTGAAAGCTGTTCCATTTTAACATGAAAATCTGCTTTATAGTAGAGTCAAATTGCAGAATAACCCTAAAAAAATTGCAAGAAAACGTTTTATTGCATTTTCTTATAGTATTTGGTCCTGAAAACAACATATCAAAAATTGTCTGAAATTGAGCTACCGCAAAGGGTCCAAATATGACGTCAAACAAAATGGCCGCCATTGAACCAAAATCCCTTATTTTCTGTTCATATTCTATCAAAGCTGTTGTTTAAGAAGGCTTAGGTGCAAGACAATGCTATTATAAAAGCAATATCATAGTAATTCATCACTCTGTGAGTGTTGTGCAGTGTTACCAAGTGACGTCATGGCGTTTTAAGGAGTCGTTATAATGTCACGACGAAAATTTTCCTTTCTGATGGTTTGTTAGCCATTTCATTTGAAGTTGTGGATGGATGGATAACAAAACTGCAGAAAATTGCTGCAATAGGCATGGTGACCACGATTTACGGGCGGTCTAGAGTATATTATCACCAAAAAAAGTCCCAGTCTGAAATCTGTGCCAAAATGGGTCAAATTGGCCAAAATTCAAAATGGCCGCCGGTTTTGACTGGAAAATGTCAATTTGTATCCAATTATCATAATATGATCGAGCTTGGTATCAAAATGTATCCTTTCGGGGTAGCTGAATCCATTTCCATACACATTTTGGTGAATAATTATACCGCGGAGTCAATATTAGGAAATAAGTCCAGATGGCGGTTAGATTTGGCAGGAAAATGTGAATTTTACAAAATTACCACATCTGGTGTCAAAATATACGTTATTAACTGGTTCCCCTGGGTCAAAATATGTGGAAAATCCATTGGAGATTTGGGGATTAAGAGAGGTCGAGTCTGTCTCAGATCTAATACATATATTGCATTGCCATTTTTGGTCAAATCAGATGACTCTTGAACTCTGGGTTAAATACCACATAAAAATATTCATTAATAAAAAAGTTTTTCGTAAAAATTAAAATTTTCAAAATTTGGCGCCTAATATCTCCGAAGATTCGTCGAAAATAAAAAATCTAAAGAACCGTAGCTATGTGCCTTGTCTCTGGCTAAAACCGAAGACATCGAATCAATCGGACAAGTAGTTTCTGAGATACAATCAAATTGGAAAAAGAAAAATAATAATAATAAGAATAATAATAAGAATAATCTTAACCAAATCCAGCAATATAAATTCATTGTATACATTTGTTACGTGTAAGTGATCCTGACAAAATTACATTACTTCCGGTGATAATGAAAATGTTAAATTAGTTCCATGAAATCATAAATGGCATCAGGCATCACATGGTGAAAATTTTATGAAAATCGAATAATAATTGACACTTTTATAGACAAAAAACCTTGAAAAGTGACTAGTAGAAAATTGTTTATTTCTCTGCTATCGTAAAAGTTAGGAACCATTTTGTGGTATCTGTATGATCGTATTGGTTCACTCTATTTGTTGATTGCAATCAATTGTTATAATTTTAAAAACATTACAAATCAAGACTCATTTGAATAAAATATCTGTTTTAAAGGCTAAAAATACAGTTTTTGCCAAAATGACGTTACTTCCGGTGATAATGAAAATCTTAAATTACTTGAATGAAGTCGTAAATGACATTAGGTATCACACGGTGAAAATTTTATGAAAATTGAATAATAATTGACACTTTTATGGACCAAAAACCTTGAAAAGTTGCCTGTTGAAAATCGTCTATTTCTCCGCAACTAAACAAGGTAGAAACCATTTTGTGATATCTATATGATCGTATGGGTTCATTCTATAAGTTGATTTGAATCAAATATCAAAATTTTAAACAAATAACAAATATGACTCATTTGAATAAATTATTTGTTTCGAAGGCAATAAATACAGTTTTTGCCCAAATTACGTCATTTCCGGTGACATTGAAAATGTTAAATTGGTTTGACCTAGTTAAAATTGACATTACGCATCAAATGGTGTCTCTTTTATGAAAATCCAATAATAATTTACTCTTTTACCGGCAAACTAGCGTGAATAGTCACTCATGCAAAATTGCCCATTTCTCGGCAACTGCTCATATTACAAACTAAATTTCACATACATTCTCTTCGTATGGATTATTGCTACAAGTTTATGAAAGTTGCGAACAAATATTTTAAAACATGAAAAGCTTGAATGGGTTGTGAATAGCTCATTTTTTCACCTTTAAATCGAAATGACCCGAAAACGAAATCAAAATTTTAAAAAATGAGCCCGATGT